GTGTGTGTGTGTGTGTGTGTGTGTGTGTGTGTGTGTGTGTGTGTGTGTGTGTGTGTGTGGTTTAATGAGCACACTGCCCTTTTCTGGACCTCCTTCATGTCAGTCACCAAACGTGCACTGACACACTCACCGTGCACGTGAATCGACCTCTTTGTGTGACTTTTCTCTCTCCGACTGACTTTCATTCTGTTTCTATACGTTTGCTTCTCTTTCAGAACCTGACTGAAGGAAAATATAAAAACTTTGAGGAGTTCAAAGCAGACGCTCAGCTGATTGTTCACAACGTCTCCATCCTGTACGGAGGTGGGTGAAACTCACCTCTGAATAATAATACCTAATAATTCCTAAAGCAAATGGTTGAAATTCTCATATAACAAATGTTTGCATAAACTGTATTCTGTTGAACAACTTCTGAGTATGTTTTTCTGTTTTTAATCTTTTGTTTCAGCTGATGTTTCATGTTATTCGTTAGGAAGAATTCATCCTGTTTTTGTTTCTCACAGTTCACAGTGACCAGGCAGAGATCGCACGATTGCTCTTCAGTGACACGTGTCATGAGGTACAGTTGTTTTACTTTTAACTTCACTATAAAACAAAAAAATTAATCTGAATTCTTTTAGTCTGAACTGTATACCGTGTCCTGCCGGCCATGTGTTGGGTTATAAAACATATTACAAATAAATTAAATACAACACAAAAAAGTATTTTTCATTTAAATTGTAGATTTGAAAACAAAAAGTAATACAGAACTACCGTATTTATTCTAGTATAATACAAAAAATTAAATCATAAAATCATCCATAAAGTTGGGGGGTAGTACTATACCCGGATCAATATTTTTGCTGATGTATTTTACCAGATTTTACCAAATTTCTCTCTGGGATCAATAAAGTATTTTTGAATTGAATTGAATTGAATTTAACTGAAATAACGTCTTCATTCACAAAATGCCTGAGTCCAGAAATGAGACCACATCGTAAAAAGCGGTTGAAGCGAGCTTACCTCTGACACACCTTCGTGCCTCCGAGCGAGATAATAACAGATCCAAACAGGCAACATGATGTGAAAAAAAGGCAGTCCTGCAGCTCAGTAATRATAACGAACTAATGGCWTTAATGTGYGACCGGGCCGCTGCTGGAACAACAACAAACACATGGTCGGCTGTAATGGCTGCCGTCTACCAATGTTCTGAAAAAGTTGGTCTACCTGTTTGTTATATCACATCAACAAATGAGCATTGCTAAATTTCACATTGAAAGTTTTTGTTGTAGTATTATACTTGAGATTGTATTATACACGAATAAAAACGGTAAACAGTGTTTACTTGTGTAAAGAGAAGAGTAAATAAAAGGTGAAACATTTTCTGAGTTCCTGCAATGAAACGCATTATAGGGCGTAACTGCTTGCTATACAGGCATTTCTCACCATCACTTGTGACCATTTGAAGTAGTCAGGTTATTTTAACCTTCTCATGCTGTATTTGAGTGTTTATTTGAGTGTTTAGAAAGAGTTTTAAATGTTTTTCTGCTGTGGCTTCTTAAACGAGTTGATTAAATCGTGCTCCAACCTTTAGATGGGAGATGATTAAATGTCTAGTTCCACATAAGGTCATGGCACAAATACATGAGCTTTCACAATAAAAATGTCTCATTTATTGCATGTATTTTTTGTGAAGTTTTTCTGTTTTGATTGTTTCTTATCGCCTCCTCGCTGTGTTTGTACTTTTCCTCTCGCAGCTGAACGAGTTGTTGTTGTGTAAGAACTGTTTCTACCTGTCCAACGCCCGACCAGACAACTGGTTCTGTTACCCATGCGTGAGTATCCACAAACGACGACGTCTCTTTTCTCCAGAGAAACTCCTCATGTTCTGATTAATTCAGTTTGTTTTATTTATTTGTGTTTGCGCGTTGCTTTGTCAGAGCCCCAGTCACGACCTGGTCTGGGCCAAGATGAAGGGTTTCGGTTACTGGCCGGCTAAAGTCCTTCAGAGGGAGGACAACCAGGTGGACGTTCGCTTCTTTGGACACCAGCACCAGAGGTTAGCATAGCTTGAACGTTTTAAAGTGCCTGTGACATCAGTTTTTTGTGATAAATGTGATTGCACATATTACAAAAACAATTTCACACCACTGAGATGAACAGTTGCTGAGATATTTGCCTGTGAAGTAACAGGAAGTGATGTCACAGGGGGATGTCTGAATGTAAACAGAGCGTTGCTACAAGGCTAACAACACAGACAGCAGGGAAGTTTCTGATGTTTCTTTAGATAATTTTAGTCACTATCAGAGAGATGAAGAAGAGTCAGAGTTCAAATTATAATAAACAAAGACCAGGGAGTTTTTTTTCTTAGAGTTTCCCTATGATGTCACTTCCTGTTTCACTTTAGCTGAGCCAAATTCAAAGGAAAATATGCCAGTTATGTGACAAAATGGGTTAAATCATGTGTTTAATGCTAATTTCCCTAACTATGAAGATATTTTCTTTGACTTTTTTTATTTGAAGGATAGGCATGTCACAGACACTTTAACTCTAATAAAGCAGCGTGGCGCTTGTTGGTAAACGGTTCTCGTCCACAGAGCGTGGATCCCCTCAGACAACATCCAGGACATCAAGGTGAGCGTCCAGCAGCTGCAGGTGAAACGCAGCAACGGCTGGAAGAAGGCCTGCGAGGAGCTGGAGGTGTACCAACGCTTCCTGAGGGAGGGGCGCTTCTGGAAAACAAAGATGGAGGACGTTCCTCCAATGCTCCAACAGAACCAGAACATAAACCAGAACCAGAACCAGAGCCAGAACCAGAACCAGAATCAGAGCCAGAATCAGAGCCAGAGCCAGAACCAGAGCCAGCGGCAGCAGCATCAAGAGGAGACCAGACCGGAGCGGACGGACGAAGCCGAGTCCAGCATCTCCTCCACCAGCAACGAGCAGGTCCGCCATGTAAGTGAAAACAATTACAAATAACTTATTCTGGTTTTGTTTGTAAACAAAAAAGATGTGATGTTTCCTGGCTGGATGCAGATAAGAACACATCTTTGTTTACCTTTTAATTATCTGTTACTTCAGAGTTTTAATTTACTTTGTGTGGTTTTGTCTTTTATAGTAAAAAAAAGGCCAAATAATTATAACTTGTTTATTTACTTACATCATTTTAATTTTATTCTTTTATTTTGTTTTTCCTGCAGATGAAAAGCAGCCAGGAGCCCAAAGCAAAGAAAAGCCGTCGGGCTCAAACTGTTGACCTCAAAGAAGAAGCCAGCGTAAGCACTTCATCTTCACTAACTTTAAGAAACGTCTTAATGAAATCCACAGTGATGAAATGTTGTAGTTGTTTTAATAAGTTATATGTATTAAGTTTTAATAATTTTTATTGAACAAAACAGAAGCTAACAAACATTACAAATATACAGTTTTTAAATGCTCAAAAGGAGTGGGCTGAAATATATTTATATTAGCCCACCTCTTCTCCTGCAATCTTTTTCCATCACTTCTTWTTTATTAAAATAATTATTAATTCCGTAAAAATGAATGCATCCAACAACAATGCACCTGCAATTCATTTTTACTTTAAAACTTTTTAAACTTGTGACAGTTTTCTTTCAAGATTAAAGAGTTTAATTTAAAAGTTTGTCCTTAAAACCTGTTGTTTATGTTGAAGAGGGAAAAAAATGGTGATATTGTATTTTAAAAGACAGTTTCATTGTATCGAATCGTTGATTAAGAACTTTATGAATCGAAATCTAATCGATTTGGCCTCGATACCCAGCCCTAATCTTCACTGCAACTAAATGTAGGATTTTTGTAATTTAATTTAGGTTATAAACAACCAACAGTTTGCTTATATGTATGTATATATTTGTATGCACAACATTTAGTGAAAACCTGGTTAAAACACAGCAACAGAAGGTGGTAAATAAATTATCAAGCATAATCCAAACTTTTCTAAATTCTATTGATCGCATGTTATTAAAAAAAAAAAATATATATATATATGTATTATATATATATTTTGCTCCTCCAGGACCCGGAGCCAGAGATGGAGGCGGTCAGCTCCAGCCAGGAGATCCCGGTGTCCTCGGCGCCCCAGCAGCCTGAGAAGCTGTCCGTGTCCACGCAGACGAAGAAGGCCAGCGGAGGGTCGCCTCGCATGCTGCACCGCGGCACCCAGACCAGCAGCGACGGCTCCTGCCAGAACATGTGCCACGAGAAGTACACCAAGGTCTTCAACGACGTCAAGGAGATGATGAAGGCCGACAACAAGAGGGAGACGGAGAGAGTGGTCAGGGAAGCTCTGGAGAAGGTGCGTTYGGATTGAAGGGTGGTTTGTGGTCGTCTCTGTGTTTAAGTCTCAGCACTTCCTGTTTGTTTTCTGCTCCTGCAGCTCCGCACAGAGATGGAGGAGGAGAAACGGCAGGCGGTGAGTAAGGCTGTGGCCGGAGTTCAGGCGGAGATGGAGAGGAAGTGTAAGCAGGTGAAGGAGAAGTGTAAAGAGGAACTGGTGGAGGAAGTGAAGAAACTCGTGTCCCAACACAAACAGCTCATCTCCCAGACCAAGAAGAAGCAGTGGGTGAGTTCAGTCTTCACCTGTCACTTAGTGTTTTCCAGTTTATGGGCATTTTAACCAACTAACTGCCAGCCTGAGGACCAGGTTCAACATCTTTGAGCTAGCTAATGGGCACAGTAAGCTAGCTAATGGCCACAGTAAGCTAGCTAATGACCACAGTAAGCTAGCAAATGGCCACAGTATGCTAGCTAATGGCCACAGAATGCTAGCTAATGGGCACAGTAAGCTAACTAATTACCACATGATTGGTTATGACCACAGTAAGCTAGCTAATGGCCACAGAATGCTAGCTAATGGGCACAGTAAGCTAACTAATTACCACATGATTGGTTATGACCACAGTAAGCTAGCTAATGACCACAGTAAGCTAGCTAATGGCCACAGTATGCTAGCTAATGGCCACAGTATGCTAGCTAATGGCCACAGTAAGCTAGCTAATGGCCACAGTAAGCTAGCTAATGGCCACAGTATGCTAGCTAATGGCCACAGTATGCTAGCTAATGGCCACAGTAAGCTAGCTAATGGCCACAGTAAGCTAGCTAATGGCCACAGTATGCTAGCTAATGGCCACAGTATGCTAGCTAATGGCCACAGTAAGCTAGCTAATGGCCACAGAATGCTAGCTAATGGCCACAGAATGCTAGCTAATGACCACAGTATGCTAGCTTATGACCACAGAATGCTAACTAATYACTACCGAATGCTAAATAATTACCACTGAGTTTTGACAAATTGCTATGTAATTATCAAAAAATGCTAGCTAATGATCACAGAATGCTAGCTATTAGCACAGAATGCTATGTTATTACCACATAATTACGCACAATTCTATGTTACCGCGGAATGCTAGCTTATTACCACAGAATGCTATGTAGTTACCACATAATTACACAAATGCTATGTAATTACCACATAATTACACAGAATGGTATGTTACTACTACATAATTACTCAAAATGCTATGTTATTACTACATAATTACACAGAATGGTATGTTATTACTACATAATTACTAAAATGCTAGGTAGTTACCAAAGAATGCTATCTAATGACCTAAAAATAACTACAGAATGTTAGCTAATGACCACAGAATGCTAGCTAATGACCTGAAAATGAGCTCTAGYTAATGCTAGCTAATAATGGAGTTGTGTTTGTGGTTTTCAGTGTTACAACTGTGAAGAGGAGGCCATGTATCACTGCTGCTGGAACACCTCGTACTGCTCCATCAAGTGTCAGCAGGAACATTGGCACGCCGACCACAAACGAACCTGCCGCAGGAAGAGATGAACAAGCCCCGCCCTCTCTGACCTCACAAAGCTGATTGGCTCCCGACCTGCCCTCCTCCTGTCAGTCAGTGTCTACAACAAACACACAAAAACACACACACACATTTCTCCTGCTTCTTCACTCGCCTTCATGGGAACCGTTTGAACCGGACGTTCTGCTGCGGGGCGAGCTGGTTTTTATTTAATGTAGCCATTGTGTTCATTTTCCTCCGTTTTTATTATTTTCTCTAAATTGTGAAAAGTTTTCTCCAGAGCATGGCTCAGATGCAGAGTTTTGGTGTGATTATTATGATTTTTACTTTTTAAACTTGTATGTTTTCTTTACTGAAGTGCTGATTTTATGTCAGAGGATGTGTTATTTAATGTGTAGAACACGATGTGAGCATTACTTACAAAAAAAAAACATTTTATTACTTTTATGTTTTTTTAAAAACTGTAAATTAACAAAATACAGCTTGAATTTTACAAAACATTTAAAAAGAAACTACCAGAGCTCGAGCTGAACTGGTTTTCAACCGTCATTTAACTGTAGCATTTTAAACTGTGGAAGTTAACGACCGAAAAGATATTTTAGGTCATTTTTCATAAATCTGATCAGGTGGATTGCACCGTTGTTGTTTATTTTTTGTTTCTGCCTAAAGTTTTTTGCTCTAAATCACTCATTGGGAACAGGGTCAGAGCGTCAGCTGTTAAGAAAATGCTGACAGAAATATCAGTTTTTAATTCTAATCATATTTAATAGAATTATTCACATTTGGGTTTTTTTTTTATGCCTGGACTGTTTTTATGAGTCTGATATTGACAGAAAAGGTTTTAATTTGCTCTAAACTGGGGGATATCTTAAGCTTTTAAGATTAGTTGTAAGATTCGATGATAATATGTTTAGTTTTTATTTTTAACTAATCCAGAAGCTTGTAAAATTGCCAAAAAAAAAAAAACACTTTTAGTCTCGTTGAAGCTACCTGAGAAGATCGATCATTTTTCTAGTGACGTATTCTGATATCATCTTTTTTCCCCTAAAATCTGAAGTGAGGAGTGAAAAGACTTTTTCTCTGCTGTTGCTCAGTTTTGTTTTCCTCTCAGCGATGCAGCGTAAACATCGTTTAGTTTCTTTCATCACTAAATAAATTCAGAAAGACCGGAAGCTCTGAAAACGATATGCAAATATAAATGATCGAGATTTTTCTTTGCTTCTGGGTGGCGAGTAAGTTATTATTTTTTTTAAAAGAGGCATCATTATGAAAAAAAACCCTTTTATTTTTTGTCATTGTTGCCGTTTTCAACAGAGATTAAATTAGTTGATTGAAATGAACTGACAGGACTTTTCCTCAGCTCAACAAACTGGATCCTGCTGCAGATGAACCAGAACCTCCTGTTAATTATATTTATGCAGCTTCTTGTGCTAAAATATTCTTTACAAATATAAAATTTCTATAAATTAATCTCTGAATTATTAGATTAACATGCAGTCCCGTGATCTCAGAAGATTTGTCTCGTTAAAAATCTTCAGATTTTATTGTGAAATGAATTAATTAAATCGACTAAAAACATTTTCAGATCATTCTGATTTAGTTTTTCTAGATTAGTTTCTGTTAAAACTTAAAAGCTTTTATGTTTTAATGGATTTAATGTCATAAAGTCTGCAGAGTTATTTTCAGGTTATGATGATTTGAGTTAAAAATCGACAGCAAATAGTTGAGTGAAAACAGGAAGTGCGTCACTCATTAGCAAGCAGTGAAGAAAATGCTTTTATTAAAAAATACATTTTATTTTAAAAGCACCTTTCAGACACTGAACAGCAAGAAACAWGCATCAGTGAGAAGAACACAAATCATAAATTAAAACAAAATATAGTTTTCTTAATCAGGAACAGTTTTTATATGTAAGTGTTCAAGTTTTTTAAGAGATGCTAAACACATTTTAAAGGATTAGAATCAGATTTTATTAATTAAAAACAGATATTCTTGTCTTTTATCAGCTGCTGTGAGTTCTAAAGATAAACAATAAAAAGAAAAAGTCTTCAGACTGCTGGGATCTGCTGAACCTGTAAATCTGCACTTCAGCAGAGACCAGTCCTGGTCCTGAAGGATTATAGTCCTGGACCATAATCCTGAAGGTTTTAGTTGTTTTCAGGTGGATCAAAGAGAAACTCAAACATGCAGGATTAGGACCCTCCAGGACCAGGACTGTGGACCTCCAGGACCAGGGTCTTTCTCACTGAGGTTTATCAGTAGACTAAGATTTAATCTGTTGCTTGTTTTTGAAACTATCAAAAAGCAGAAAACTGTTTAATTTAAAGTTTAACTTTAAAGTTTGAAATCAAGCCTGAAAAATCTCCAGTTTATTCAGGATCTGAAAACTTTATTAATCTGAGGTGAATCAGTTCTTACAGCTGCATCAAGTAAAACAAGGAGAATAAAGAGAAACACACTAGAAAAAATAAAATCAACACAATTATGGACAAACTATAAAATAAAGATGCACAGAATTAAAAAGTGTTCCAGATGTTTGGTCAGTTTCATTAACGGCAACATTTAAAATTAAGGTTAAGTTTTTGTCAGAACGAGGTTTTTCTTTTGCAGCAGTAATAATCCAAGGTGCAGCTGGAGTTTGTTGACCTTCAGAAAAGTCTGGAGCAGAAACATGKTGTTGTTTCAGAGCTGCAGCAGGTTCTGTTGCTTCAGTCGTCTCAGAAAACTGCGCCGGCAGAGACACGATGTAAACGTTTGGTCCTATCGTCATCTGTTGTTACACTACATGTAAATATTCCTCCTGCCTGGTGTCACGTGAACATTTCAACTCACTTCTTCTAATCTGACCTGATCCGGCTGACTGTTTTGTAAAAAAAAAAAGAAAAAAAAGATGTAAACCTTTTCTTCTCAGTTTGTTTGGTTCAGGTTCACACACTGCATCGTTTAAACGTGTCGTCGTTTTACTACACGTGAAGGTGGAAGGCTGCCATGTTTGTTTCCGTTCATCACAACACTTAAATTTTTTTATTTTATGTTTTATTTGTTTTTTAAAGAGCATGAGAAGTAGATGTGCATATCTCCAACTTCACCTCTTTTTTTGTTTTTTCATGTTTAAAAAAAAGACGAGGTCTGAGTCGTGATTAATGCAAAAAGTTTTTTTTAAGGAAGCTGTTTCTCAGCTGGTGAAAGTGAGTAAATCAATCAGATTTTTTGTCGCAAATCCGGACTTTACCTGCTTTTACTCCAGGGTATTTTGTGTAAATATTACTGTGTGGTTATTTCCTGACTCCTGCTCGTGCTGAAAGTACAAAGCGGGAATAAAATCAGTGTGATGAACCTTTTTTTTTTCCTCCTGTAGGTCCTGATCTTCTGTTCTGTCCACATGTAAACTATCATTAACCAACGCAACCTTTTTTAAGCTCCCTTTGTTTTGTTATTTTTGACACTTTAGCTAGCAATATGTATATAAATATATTCTATGTGCTAACATGGAGAAAATAAATGTATCGACAAGTCTGGTTGTTTGTTTGTTGATGTTTACAAAGTGTTTGTGTTGGCAGTGACAATGTCTTCCCTGAATCTGTGAGTCAGCGACTGCAGAAAAAATAAGTTGAACCAGGAGCTGCTGCTTTTTATTAAAAAATAAACATCAGGATGACGAGATCCTGCTGCAGGTAAGATAGTTTTTATTGTTTTAACAAGCAGAAGCAGCAGGACACAACAGGAACAACACACAATCACCTGAAGGCGGAGTCTTGTTTTTAACATGTTTGTGTCTCTGTTAGCAAAATATTTCAGGACTGTTTTTAGGAAAATGTTCAGAAAGTTACGATTAGGTGAAAGTCTGAACTTTGTCTCATCAAATCAATGAAGCTGAAAATTTTTTCACTAATCTGTTTTTTCTGAGATCGATGATGATGGTTTAAAGCCACTGACTGGTTTAAACCGGATGCAAACTTTAAAGAAACGTTTACAAAAACTTCATCAGGCAAAACCGAGGGCAGCATTCCATTTCTGTAGCGGTTTGTCTGCAGACTGGGTCCAAACAGGACTTCCACTAAATGGAACGCGGCCCTCTTTAATTGGTGACACCTGAGCTCCTTCAACCTCTTCAAGTCCAAATGTTTGTTTGGTGAGCTGGACCTGGTCAGAGTGAGTAAAACCTCTTTGGTTTCTTTTATAAAAACAGGACAGTAAATGTATCCAATAATATAAATATTATAATCAGTTTTAATCCCAGCTGTTAAATAAAGGTTTTTAGTTTGTCACAAAGTTTACTAGTTCGCAAATATTCTTGTAAAATCATTCAAAATAATTATATTTTAAACGAAAAAATGCAGTTTTATGGTAAAGGCCTAGTATTTAATAAAATAAGTCAAACCACCCGCTGCCCATCATGACGTTTTACTAAAACTGCCTTCTGTTGAGAAATAACAGGCTTTAGTTGTCGCTCAGCTACAACCACTAAAACTTGTATCTAAATGCCAAGTTGACTAAATTACGTCCATGTTCGTGTTTTCCAAAGTTGGTTGACGGCCATCTTGAAAAAGTGAATCGTACATCAGATGGTCTGTATTTTGCCAAAAGATGGGGGCAAAACCGTTGAGTGTAATGCCACTGATGACCACTAGGGGGCAAGCTGTCATTTTAACAGAAGGTAAATTCTTATTAGTCATTTTTTAAACATCACTGTTGATGCCAGATAGTTATCTTGTTTTTACAGTAGTTTTAGGATCTGTACAACAAATGGTATTTAAATTAAAACCATTATAAATTTTTTAAAAATATTTCTTGTTCGTCTTTAAAGTATCTCAAACCACTGCGTGGATTTGATTAAAATTCTCAAAGTAAATTTAAAGTTGCCAGATGTTTTGAAATTATATTTCTACAATAAGTGGTTTTGGCATTTCTGTGCACAAAAGAAAGTTTTAATTACCTCTGAATCTAAAACTCATGTTTGGAAATGAGCAGGTTTGTGTTCCTTCAACAGCAAGAAAAATCTGTTTCCATTTTATACATACAGATTTGAAACATAACTTTCAATCTACTTGTTAAGTTTAATCTAAAGTACAGCAGTAAAATGTTAATTTAGATAAATTTATTGTAGACTTTTGACAAAACCAACAAAAAAAAACATTTTTATTGTCAAAATTGTTTATTGAAATGAAAGCCATGACAACATATTTTTAAAACTTAAAAAAACTTGACATTTTACTTTAAAGAAAAATATTGAAAGTGCTTTATTTATAAAAACAAAAACAGGAAATAATCCTTACAGGTTGAAACCAGAACATTCTCTGCAGCTCTTAAAGGGTCTCTGATAAAAACACTTTCCCTCCTCGTGTCGTTGACGTCACTGTGAGCCCTGAATCATCTGTGTAAAAATATGAATCCCTCTGATATTTACAGTTTGCAGCATCTCTGAAAACCAGGTCGGTTCTGCATGAAGTTTAATCCAAAGTTTGGGTTTACTGTAATACCTTCTGTCTCCACCAGAGGGCAGAAAAGTCCTGCATAATTTAAAAAGAAATCCAATTTTCATCTATTTAGTGAATCTTCTTTTGGTTTTTCACTTGTTGCACTACTTGTTTTAATAAAAATAAGTCACATTTCAAAAAAAAATTTAAAAACATTTGATCAGTACTTTTCTTTCAGAAACTGGAAAAAACTCCTCAAAGTGTCACATTTCAGCCCAAAACGCAGACAGACGTAACCACAATTAATCCTCACCTCTTAATATAAACTATCATCATATATTTGTATTTTTTTAATATTCTTGACATGAATCCTTTTCACTCAAGATAATACGATGCTCTATTTTAAGCAAATATTTAAGAGCGTCTCTTCATAAACTTTCTATAAGAGAACAAAATAAATTAAATCAGTTTCTTTTTGTACATACTTACATGATATGAGTTCTGGGATTTGTGTGAAAAATAAAGGCTGCTGAAATGGGCCACTTGGTTTAAAAAAACTATATTAAAAAAATGAAATGAACGTACCAAAACCAAGGATCGGCTACGATTTGCTTCCCCTAAACCCCACCCCCCTCATATCAAAACATATCACACTTTCTGATGGTTGATATTGTAAAAACACAATCTTGTTTTTAAAAAAATAGGCTAAACTCTTGAGAGATGTTTAAAAAAAAAGGTGATTTAAACGTGTAAAAGCCAGAATCTTTGCTAAGTTTCAGTTCTCCTGGAATCTGAAGAATATTCAGAACAAACTGTGACCTGAAAGTCAGAACCCAGGGCAGAACAGGTCCACAGCCTCCTCCTCTGAGCTCGTCTCGGTTTCGTCCTCCGGGGGGCGCTACATGTTGTAGGCCACATAAATGGGGTCCAGCTGGTCGGCCAGGAAGCCGTCCCGCAGGTGCATGCGCTGCTTCTCGCCGCGGGAGTTGATGGGGATGACGCCGATGTCGACCACGACCACCACGCCCACGATCAGGTAGTGCTCCTCCAGAACCACGTTGGTGACCAGAGGGACCAGATCCAGGGCCTCCTGCTCGGAGCCSTCCAGCTCCACCACCACCACCAGCAGGTTGGTCCACGTGAACACGGCGCTGAAACACCAGATTATTTCACTCAGGACTGTAATCCTGATTTAATCCACAGTTTAGTGTTTTTTTTATGGGATAAATCTTGTGCCAGCAGGAACTGAATTTGAATTGCTCAGATTGAATGCATTGGTTTGAAAATGAATTTAAATTTTTGAATTAATTTGCTTTGAAACAGTTTGACTACTTTCACTTTCAGTAGCATAATTCAGATTTTTGTGTCACATCCTGGTCCTTGAGAAAGCCAGGCAGAGTAATCAAACACAGATCCACAGATTTATGGATCAGTATAAATAGGTGATCCATGATGTAAATGTAACATTTTCTACATATAGGTCAAATTAATCTCTGCAATAAAATAACTTTGTSTGTTTTTGTCACTTTTACAGTGGATTGCATCAACTCTGTTACATACAGAAGGGAAACTTCACCAAAGTGAAACATAAATCTGTGGATCTGTGTTTGATTACTCTGCCTGGCTTTCTCAAGGACCAGGATGTGACACAAAAATCTGAATTATGGAACTGAAAGTGAAAGTAGACAAAATACAGTTTCAAAGCAAATTAATTCAGATACAAAACTTTAAATTCAGTTTCAATTYATGCACTTTCTGATTCAGTTCCTGCTGGCACAARGTTCATCCCACAGTTTCCAGTCTGGTTCCTCACCACTCCGTGATGCTCTTGTGGGTCCTGATGACGGAGGTCTCGATGTCGATGGGGTGGTACCTCATCCCCCTCAGCTCCATGGCTTCCTCCAGAGCGCCGACCACATACAGAGCATCGTGACGCTCTGCAGGAACAAACGCTCCAATCATCACTAAACTTTTAGTCTTAAAGTTAATTTTCAGTCTGACAGAAGCTGTTTAACTTTTGAGACTTTCAGATGTGCAATGCTGCATTCAAGGCTGCTAAAGTCTGGGAAATCTGAGCTTCATAAACCTTACAGTAGATTAAAACACTGGGTTTATAAAATGTTACATGTTGTGAACTGTACGGCTGAAATAAATATATTTTCRAAGTTTATCCACAAAAATAATAATCTACCTATTTCATATTATTTTAAAGATACATTTCACAAAGTAAACTTTTCTTCTTGTGGAAAAATGACCAGAAAAATGTAATTTTGAGCATTAATTTAAATTTAGCAGTTCAAATGTACAATCCACAAAAAAAAAAGATGTTTTTCCATTACAAGTTGGTAGTTTTTGCAGAAAAATAACTAAATTTCAAGATTTTCCTTCTTTCTGCTGCCTTTCATTTTATTTTATTCATATTTTTTTTGTTGTAAATAGTATTAGTTTTTAAATTAATTAATTTYTTGTTCGAACTGAGCTGAAACAAATGTGTCTAAATGTGTAGATTATTCTTTTTTATTATGAAAAAAACTATGTTGAAAGTGTGTTTTCAGGTAATTATATTTGTTTTGATAAACCTTACACCTGCTTGTTTTAGGTTGTTTGAGCCGTACAGTTAATGTTAATATAAATGTGTTTTAATATGAGTTAGAGCTCAGATTTCCCAGCTTTTCACCAGCCTTGAACGCAGCATCAGAGTTTCTTTCTGCCCACCCCTCACCTCCGCTGGCGTCGGTGAGCTCGGTCCTGCGGAGGAAGCCCAGGTACCCGGTCCGGGCCCAAACGGTCTGCGTGTCCCCGAAGCTGAGCCTGGCGCTGAAGTGGTCCGACTGAAGCAGCTCGTCTCCGTAGACGGTGAAGTAACCGCTGGCGTTGTGGCCGCTGTGGACCCAGATCTACAGAAACACATCAGTGCACGCTGAAACCGCTTTAATCCAGAACATCTGCTCAGACTGAGCTGCAGACCAACCTCGCCCAGGTGAGACTCTCCCATCGGGCCTTTGGTCTCTGGGTTGGCGATGATGATTCGGACCCCGGGCAGGATCTGCTCGCCGAGGGAACAGAACCAGTCAGAAAAACAAACCATTCAGTTCTTTTCTTGGCTGTGTCTAAACTCAGTCGACCTCGTCCATCACAGCACCGCGACGGAGGCGGTCCAAACTCAAAGATTCCTCCAATGTGGCCGAAGAACCTTTACGACCAGGTGACATTATAAAACTAAAAAATATATTGTGAATTTTATTATTTATTATTATTTTTACACAGACTATAATTCATGTAAACAGCATTTTTTTCTAATTCTTATGTAGTTTTTAATATTCTTTAAAGGTAACTGATGGATTTGAGAGAGAGATCAGAGTTGTTGGATTATTTAAGTAAACAACATGTTCGCATGAGCGAACATGTTTTACTTTGTATTAGTAGTATTGATCATGTATTTGCTTTCAAATTGAGTTCTGTTGTGGGTATAAAAACAAACAAACAAAAAACCTGTTATGTTTGGTCATATTTTCAAAGAGCCACCTGTGGCCCCAGAGCCACAGCTTGCAGACCCCTGCCATAATGGAGGACAGTTTGGTATAAAACATAAAAGTTTGAAGCAGTTGTGTTGTAAATTCATCTTTTGTAAAAACGTTTTAATATTATTCTTGTCAGAAATCAAACGTGCACCTACAGCAGGTCCATTAGTTCTTYAAATATTACCTTTAATTTAGTACTTTTATGATATTTATAATAATATATTGATTTTTTGCTTCTGTTTAGCGTCATGGTTGATAGTCAACAGGACGTACGACGGGATAAAGCAGAAGGCAGATTCAGACACTATTTTCCGGTCTTCGTGGTCAACCAAGGACCTGGCCCACCTAGACCAGGTAGGCCGGGTCCTTCGAAGGACACCGCCCCTGAATTTGGACACAGCCTTTAATTAAAAACAAAACAAAACAAAACAAAAAAAAAAAACTCACCTTCCCAGACTCCATCAGAGACAAACTGTGTGGAGACCCCCTCTCTACCAATCTGACCCTGAGCAGAAAAACAGATTTGAATTATAATAAAAATAAAATAAAACCCCCATTTCTGACCTCATTTCTTTCACTAGATGGTGAAATAACTTTCTACTTTAAATAGTGAGACGTGATGGTTTCAGTTTCCTGACCTGTCGTGTCGCAGCGCCCTCATGTCCACAAACACAGTGGTGGGGTCGGGTCCAGATGTGCCCTGCAAAGACAAGACGACAACAATCAACACTGCAGCCTCACAAACACAACAACCAATCAGGCTGCAGCGCTGCTGCTGGCCCTGCAAAGGTTTCCAGCCCTCAGACAGGACGAGTAAACTTAGAGGATGGAAGTGAAATTAAAAAATAAAGATAGGGGAAAAAATATAAGTGAGGACGTCCGAAATATTCTACAAACTGTAGTTTTGTCCATGTGTGGTTGATGTAAAACCTGTTTATTATTATTAAAACTCACCGTCCAATCAATGTGACCAACAGAAGCCAACACAGTAGCCCCGCCCCCTGAGAGAAAACACGCCAAACGTCCAAAACCAAGTGTTTCCAGCTTCATCTTTTCATACTGTTCCCTGCCTTCGACCCGCTCAATAAAAGCTGCAGAGGCTCCTGATTATTTCAAAATAAAAGTCCCTATTTAAAGCGGGCGTTTCCTGTTTGGAGCTCGACAGGAAGCTGTTAGCGACCTTCAACAAACTTTATTAACAAAGTTCACGAGAGCAGCGAGAGGCTGGTTAATCCACAGAGAGCAGGAAACCGATAAAGTTTGAACTTTAATTCTGTCAATTTGTTTTTTTAAAATAAATAAATAAATAATTCTGTCAATTTGAGTTATGAAAGCAGCCAAACGTCCAGAAACATCAGCTGGAGAGCCCGGTGCTGACAGGTGGGGGTGGAGGGGGGTGGTTTTATTTATTTATTTATTGTTTTAAAGATCCCTACCTGGTCGACAAGCTTTCCCAGCCTGTGAGGCTACAGCAGCAGAGAGGAGGAGCAGGAGGAGGAGGAGAACGAAAAAGGAGCAGAGGAAGTAAAGAAGGAGTGAGATGAAGGCGGGGTTACGTTCAACACAGAGGAGGAAGAAAAAAAACAAAACGATGAACTCGAAGCAAACGAGCTGTTAGAATGAAAAACAGAGATTTTAGTTCTGATTTAAAACTTTTTTTTTTTTACCTTAGGTTTTATTTCAGGTTTTTTCTCTGTATTTCAAAAT